GCTTGGAGGGAAGGCGTAAAAGAAGGCAGCGGTTTGGCCGCGCCCGACATGCGGTGTATTCCGGGCGGGTCTCTTATGCCGTTCACCACGGCTGCAATTCCCGTCCGAAGTCCCCGTCGAATCGGCAATGACGGACGAAATTAGCAAATCGTTTGCCGCTCGCGGTCGAAGACCAGGCCAGCACCGCTTCCAGTGCAGGAGTTTCGAGCTTGCGGCCTCTGTTCGCAGAAGGCCCGAGGACATCTGAAATCAGCCGTGGTCCTCGCCGTCGTCCCCAGGAGCTCTGCAGGTCCCCGCGGCCCGCGGAGGTCCCTGGAGGCTCCCGGCAGCACCTGCAGGCCCGAACGCATCCCAAACGTTTTCAAGCCGTCGTCCTCGCCCATCTCGTCCTCGTCGTCGCCCCCGTCGCCATCTTCGTCATCTTCGTCCCCGCCCGTTGCCCCTCGCAGGGCTCATTTCGACTCCTCCGACTCGGTTCAGTCCGATTTCGATCGATTCCGATTCCGATTCGATTCGACCTTGGATTTCGACGTAGATGTCGGTTTCTTAATGGGGGCTTTACTGGCGTGCCGATATCCGCCGATTCGACTTCTCCCGACTAGGCTACCGACTTCCGCCGATCCGATTCGTTTCGATCGCCGATCCGACATCGATTCGATTCTGGGCTCTCCGTTCTCTTCGTCCCCTCCATATCCGACGTGCAAAAAATTCAACATCGCGAAAAAACGCGACTGCAGCCCTAGACCCCATCTTCTTGCCTCATTCTCCGAGGCGGATCGATATGTGAGGGTCTTGGGGCCTGAAGCCAGGCGACGAGCGAAGACGCCCGCGGTGCAAAGGATGCAGCGCCAGGATCTGAGGGCCTGCCGTTGTTCCTCGTCCCGCCGGCGCGGCGCGGCGGCGTGCCGGAGCGGCCTTCCTGGGGGCAACGATGAGGGGGGGCAGGCTCAGTGAGGAGCGCATCGGCCCCCAACGGCCCATTGAACGCCAATGAGGGTCTGATAGTCCCGCCCTGCCCAGGCACGTGCGGCTTCGCTATCGCATTGCCGATTCCAGGTCGAATGTTTCCCCCCTGAGCTGGTCCTCCCTATCGTTGTCTCCCTCTTCTGCGACCCCAGCCCTGGGGGAGGATGAAGAGGAGGAGGAGGAGAAGGAACGTCAAGATTGCGCTTGCGAGGACGATCCTGTTCGCAAAGATTCAACATCCATTCATCCGGTGGTGTTCTGGTGTCACGGTGTAAAACCTGCAGCCGGACCGAGGTATGAGATCGAGGTCGGTTCGGGGAGGGTGCCCTCGTGTTCTTCGTGTTTGGGGGTGTTCGTTCATCCTGGGGGAGATCACCCGCGAGTGTTCTTCCGTCTGGGCCGGCGGCGGGTCTCATGTTCCTGAGGGAGGTTCTCATGTGCTGGGTCCGACTGTGCACCATCCCACGAGTATTGCAATTTGCGTAATAGGGTGAAAACCAGCCAATCCACATAATGGTGCAATAGTGTAATGGTGTAAACCCTACGCCAGCCATTCCACAAATAGGTGCAATGGTACAATAGTGTAGCGCGTACGCTATCCACAGAATTGTGAAACGATTTAATGGTGTAAAGCTTTCACCATTCAACAAAGTGGTGTATTGGTGTAATGGCGTAACACGTACACGATTGTGTAAAAGGGTGCAAATGGTGTAATGGCATGACGATTACACTTCTTTCCAAAGTTGGGTAATGGTGTATTGGTGAATGCTTCAGTTCTCTGATCCAGAGCGCCCCCACGCTGGGCGACCGTCACTGTGTCCGATGCACTTATCGGTGTTCGGGATGTCGCCCTCAGTCTTTGCACAGGTCTTGTGCGGGACATCGACGGTGCCGAACTCTGTACGTTCATCCAGTTTTAAAGAAAAGGCCCCGCCAGTGGAGGCGTTCACGGACACGAGCTTTGTTTCAAAGTGTAAACGAGCGGGGCCGTGAGCAGACCATCGTGGATTGTAGTGTGTGGGCCTTGTTGTGGCGTTCTGTCTGGGCCTTCGTGGACCAATTCAGGAATGCAAAACCCGAGAAGTTGGAGGCGCGAAGGATACATGCGCATCAGCCGCTCGTTGTTGTCCTGAGGGGTGGGGCTTCCAGGCGTGATTCGTTTGGTAACTATAGTACCTACATCTAAGCCAAGCTTCGTGTTGCCCCTGCTCAAGTGCCGCAGGAGGTGAGGTAGTCGCGCCTCAAGGCTAAAAGTGTTGGTCGAAAGAACGGTCCAATGATTTGGCAAGGTAGGCGCACATGTCGAGGCATGGTCAGGCATTCTGTTCGCCCGTCTCGGACTCGCCTGGCAGCAAAATCATAGGAATTCCGTCTGTAGTGTCGACTAGCGTTGATTAGCGTTTGGGGGTTGATGCGATAGCGCCGACTTAGCGTTGGCTAGCGTCGATTGAGCGTCGATGCAGCGCCGATTAGCGTCGACCAGCGCCGGTTTGCAAGCGCCGACAAGACTGTATGGGAGGCCCTCATGAGTTGCCACCGAAGACTCGTGGTGCGCGTGGCCCGTCGGTGAAGGCAGCCGCTCCGGTGCATGGCTGCCAGCCCAGACCAGCGCGCTGCACCCGATCTCCTGCGCCCGACCGAGGGGGGGGGCGGGCGAGGCCTCCGTGGCGGAACCGACGCGGCTGCCAGGGCTGGCCCGGGCCACGCGGAGTCGCCGCCCGCTGCGGCCCCGCAGATCGCCCTTTGTGTGGAAGTAGCAACTTGCAACTTCCACACAAAGGGCGATCTGCGCCTGGGCAGGCTGTTTTGTTTTTGTTTTTGTTATTGTTATTGTTTCAACAGCGTTTGTTGCCAGCGCTGGTTGCAAGGTCTCTGCGCCTGGGCAGGCTGGGTGCCCAGGCTCGATTGTGTCGTGCCCGGTGGAAGGTTCCCGATTGTTTGAGGCAAGAGGGGAGCAGCCGTACAAATTGGTCGGAGGTTGAAGGACCTCCTACCCTGGCATGTCGATTAGCGAATTGGCCGTTTTCGGTTCGCGAGAGGGCGGCGCGGCCGTCGTTTTTGCGGGTCCAGGTCCGTCGTATTCGGTCTGCCGCAATGCATCGGGAAAACGAAGAGGATGAAGACCAGTGCGAGCCCAAAACGCATCAACGATGTTGCAACACACCACACACCCTCCCTCCAAATTCTCTCTTCACAGGTCCCTGCAAGAATTGATCTTCATTGGTGGAAGTGCCCCGTTGGATGACAAATGTCCGAGAATCCTCCACCGGGCCAAAGCGCAAATCCTTCGACATCAACGCCGCCAATCAACTTTACTGTTTGCGCCAGGATACATGCCCATTGGCTTTCGACAGCGCATCAACGTGAGCGTTGCGCCCTGACAGTCGAAACTCGTACCAGAACATGATCCCCGGGACGTCAGCCAGAATCATCCGCTTAATGATTTCTTTATTTCGTTCAAAAGAATGCGCGCGGCGCTAAGACGAAAACGGCACCTGTTGAACAAGAGCCGCCTTCCATCCGCGAAGCTCTTGCACAGTGTGCGAGTGCGCGTGGCGCTACAGCCAGGGCCACATTATGAAAACGGCCCGCCCTCCATCCGCGAAGCCAATGCTATCTTTCGAGGCGAGTGCGCACGGCGCTAAGGCGACAGCCACAGTTGAAGATGCGCCGCCCTCCGTCCGTGAAGCTTGTGCGCCCCGTTCGCGCGAGTGCGGGCGGCGCGAAGGCGAGAGCCGCATTCGAAAACGAACCGCCCTCCATCCGCGAGGCTCTTACACACTTTTGAGACGCATGCGCGCGGCGCGAATGCGAGAGTCACATGTTGAAACGAGTGGCCCTCCATCCGTGAAGCACCTGCAAACATTTAAGACGAATGTGCGCGGTGCTAAGGCGACGGCCACAGTTTGAAGAGAGCTGGTTTTCAGCAGTAATCACTTGCAAACTGTTAGGGCGAACTTACGCGGCGCTACGACTAGAGCCACATTATAGAAACGGCTCGCCCTTCATCTCCGAAACACTTGCAATGATTGTAAGACGATTGCACACGGCGCTCTGTCGAGAGCCACATTTTGACGAGGGGCCGCCCTTGAACCGTGAAACTCGCGCACATGTTCAAAACTAAAATGCGCGGCGCGAGGGCGAGTGTCACGTTTTGAAGCCGGGCCGCCCTCCATCCGTGAAGCTTTGGCAATTCGTGAAAACGAATGTGCGCGGCGCTACGGCGAGAGCCACATTTTGAAAAAGACCCGCTATCCATCCGTGAAGCACTGACAAGCTTTTAGAGCGAATGTGCGCGGCTTTACGGCGCGATCCGCATCTAGAAAATAACCCGCCCTGCATCCGTGAAACATTTGCAAATTTCTAAGATTCAGGGTCATAAACGGTGGCGAAGTCTCAGGCGAAACGCCCGGCGCACCTTACCAACGCGTCTCGAGTCGCGACGGGGAGGAGTTATTGATGAGAAAATGGGATTGAGGAGGAGGACGAGGAGGAGGAGGAGGAGGAGGAAGAAGGAGAAGAGGAGGAGGAGAAGAAGGAGGAGGAGGAGGGGGAAGAGGGAGTAGGGCGGAGAGAGGAGGGGGAGGAGGAGGAGGAATGGAGGAATGGAGGAATGGAGGAGCCCCGACATCCGACGTCCCGATTGTTTCGAGACACGGGCCGCCGACCTCTCGACCGCCTCCCCGGCACCGATCTGTGCTTCCGGCCCCGAGGCCCGGCGAGGGCCCCGAGAGACCGAGAACGACGCACAGCCTGCGCCTCGCTCTCTCTCGAAGCGCCCGCTGCCTGGGAGGAGCTCGCCCCGGATCGCTGCCCCCTTCCACCTCCTGCCCTGACCTTCCAGGAGGGCTAAAAAAATAGCACCTGACCTAAAAACCTATCCCAGAGCTCTTCTACGTCTTGGTTTTAGGCTGCTTCGTTTAGTGTTTTAGGTTTTTGGGCCTCCAGTGCTAAAAAATAGCTCTCTGGAAGGTCAGGGTGCGACGGCCCCGCTGCCAGCAGCTGACCCCCCCCCCGCTGCCCCCCCGGGGCAGGCCGCCCGGCGGGCTCCACGCGCGGGCCGGGGCGCGGAGGCGACGCGGCAGGCGCGCCCCGGGCGCCCCCCTGCGGCGCCGCCGGCAGCGAGGGCGACGGCGGCGGCGAGGGCGAGGGCCTCCTCCTCCTCCTCGTTCTCCTCCTCCTCCTCGTTCCTCCCCCTCCTCCTCCTCCTCCTCCTCCTCCTCCTCCTCCTCCTCCCCCTCCTCCTCCTCCTCCTCCTCGTCCTCCTCCTCCTCCACGTCCTCCTCCTCCTCCTCGCCGTGAGAAACGAATCACGACCGGCGGGTTTTCCCTGATGTTCGACCTCTGGGGGGCCCTTCCAGGGCCCCGGGACCGCCCGAACACGACTCGGGGCGAAGAGCGGGTACTACCAGGGACGGGGTCCAGATCTCCGAGGGTCGACGTTGCGAACAATGCACGATGATGTCGGCGAGTTGTCCTGGATATCGGCCTCCCGCCGGGGCCAGTTACACGGCCTGGGGACGATCAAACATGGATCCGGGACGAAAGCCATACCGGGGGAAGGGGTTGGGACCTGTGTCTGCACGAACGAGATGGGCACGGGAATAATGGGTACCATGCCCAACAGCAGTTCCTGTTCATTTTGAACAGGACTCGCTGTCCGCGCCGCCGCGGCCTGTGTCCATTCGAGACAGGGCTGCCTGCCCAACAGCGGCCGCTGTTGGTTCGGGACAGCATTTGCTGTTGGGCATTGTGCCCATTGTTTCCGTGCCTATTTCGGGCGTCCAAATTGTGGGGCCGCGGATGAAAAAGATCGTGTCGTCGGATGTCTGGGCATAGCCAGGACACCAGGTGAGGGGAGCCAGGTAGTGATGGGGCCCCGAAGCCCCCCCAGTTGGCCAGAATCAATAACCCAGGTCTGCCGCAGCTGGCATTTTTCGGGCAACGGCAGTTCTGGTTAGTGGAATAGGGCGTGGGGGGCGTCCCCCTCCTCCTCCTCCTCCTCCTCCTCCTCCTCCTCCTCCTCCTCCTCCTCCTCCTCCTCCTCCGCACAAATCAGTGACCCACTAGACCCAGTCCCGCCCACGCCCGACACTGAGATCCAGGCGTCTCGATGCTTTTGAGCCGGGCGTCGTCATACAATTTCAGGCCTCGGGGCCCTTCCAAATCCATCGGGCTCGAAAGGTGGCGGCCCCAGTCGTGATTTTCATGATGCTTCATTGTTTCGCGCTGTCGGATCTCAGGATCAGATCCCCGATATGCAACAGCTTGCAAAAATCAGGACGGAGGTTTTTCTCTATGTTCGGCCACTGGGGGGCCCTTGCCAAGCCCAAGGGCCGTCAAACATTGTTCTGGATGACAAACTGGCCCTGGTGACAGGGTCGGGACTTTTGGCTAGCCCGTATTGGAAAGGAAAGACAGCAGGACATCGTATGTCTGGGATTCAGGCGCTGGATCTGTTCCACACCAGCTGCAGGACCCAGGACCCTCAAAGATCGACCTGGCTCGGAAACCTGGCAGCAAGAGAAGGTCCAGGGCTCAAGTCGTGATTCTCTGCGATGGGCGCACTCCCCGTCGCAACGTCGGATCTCAGGGTATGGGCCTCCCAGATGGGGTCCGAGCGGATGGGGTCGGAGGATCGCCCTGCATGGCCGATGCATCGGCGATGCGGCTCGATGTGGAGGCCGACGCATGGCGACGCCTCGACGGGGCAGGGGAGGAAGAGCCACCCGGACCCAATTAGTGGCGCTTGCTGAGCGGGCTTGGGCGGTTACTAAACGACCCTGCCCTGTTCGATTCCATGTGTAGGTGCGTCTCCCAAACGGTTTCGCGTGTCGGGGTGATTCTTATGGGGGAACCTTCTGATTATCTGTGCGTTTCAAGGGGGCCTTTCATGAGGAGGGGAAAAAACGCACAGACAAATAATCTTCGATCCCCAAGAGAATATGGGAAAATATGAAAAGTCTGAGGGCGTCCCTGGCCCATCTGACGCCGTCGGAAGCCGTCTTGGGAGTTTTTGTCTGAACCGATGTGGGGCCTTCTTGGAGCGCTTCAGGACCGTTTTGGAAGCCATCTTGGGCGTGCTGCCTTTTCGGCTATGTTGGGGCATTATTGGAGCCTTCTTGGGGGCGTCTTGGCCGTCACGGCGACATATTGAGGCCTCTTGGGCGATTTGGGGGCGATCCTGGGGTCCTTTTGGGCCGTCTTGGATAATCGGAAGGCCGAAAAGAAGCAAATGCGAAAATATGTCAAACATCTAAGGCAAATCATGCATTTTGGCTTCTTCTGGTCTTCCTGGAGGACGTCGTGGAGGCATTTCGGGTTTCCTTGGAGGCATCTTGGGCGCCTCTTGGTCCACCGTCGGCTCTCTTGGAGATACTTCTGCCGTCTTGGATGCTATCTTGGTCGTCTTGGAGGTCATCCTGGCAGTCTTGAAATATCTTGGAAACCATCTTGGCCGTTTTTGAAACCTCTTGGGCCGTATTGGGGCCCTCTTGGGGCGACCTTGGCGTCCTCTTGGGCCGTTCTGGAGCCATCTGGGAGGCCTCTGGGACAAGTTTGGGGACTCCTTGGGCAGTCTTAGGCTGTCGGAACGCCAAAACCGAGGAAAAGCAAACATCTTCCAAAAACCAAAGAACATTTAAGATGTTGGCTCCCTCGGGCCTTCCTGGAGCACCTCTTGGACTCCTTTGGGGCGATCTTGGAACCTCCCGGGCCCATTTTTGGCAATCTTGGCCGTTTGAGCAGCCATCTTGGCCGTCCCAAATTTCATCTTGACCGTGTTGGGAGTATCTTGGACGCCCTCCTGGCCGTCTTGGAGACGTCTTGGGTGTCTTGGAGGCCTCTGGAGCCGCCTTGGCGCCCTCTTGGGGCCGTCTTGGGGCCTTTGGCGCCGTCATAGGGCCATCTTGGAGGCCTGTTGGGCGCTTTGGGGGCGATCTTTCGGGCTCCTTGGGCCGTCGTGACCCGTCGGAGGCTCGAAAAGATATAAAAGCCAAAATCTGTCAAAAACCAAATGAAATCATTGATTTTGACCTCTTCGGGCTCTCGTGGAGGACCTCTTGGAGGCCTCTGGGGCCGTCTTGGTGGCCTCTTGGAGGCCTCCGGGGCCGTCCGGGGCAGTCTGAGAGGTTTCTTGTGCGAGCTCGGAGGCATCTTGGACTTTCCTGGGCCGTCTTGGAGGCAATCTTGGACCATCTGAGCGAACCTGGAGGCCATCTTGGAAGCCATTTTGGAGACATCTAGAGCAGGACCTGCACCGCGCAGACCGCCACGTGGGAGCGAGAACCCAGGAGCGGCAGCGGCCATGGGAGCCAGGGTGGCGACGAGGAGGGGCCGTGGCGACGAGGAGCACCAGCAGCACTCTGAGCGCCAGAGAGCACGGACAGGAGCCAGGGTGGCGACGAGGAGGGGCAGTGGCGCCGAGGAGCACCAGCAGCACTCTGAGCGCCCGAGAGCACGGGCATGCGCGCCAGCACCCGACGACCCGCAAAGGGGCAGCACCGCCACCGCCTGCAGGCGCGATTATCCTCTCGCACTCGCGCCGGGAGGAGGGAGATGAGAAAGCGGCGTAGCATCCCCACGCCCAAATTCGCCAGCCGCGCGCGGCCATCGGCTGTAAGCACAGCGCAAACCAACGATCCGCCGCGCCACGGGGGCACTGCCAGGCAGTTGGTCAGCACGCCGCCACGCAGGCTACAGAGGCCAGGAAGCGAGGAGACCACTCGAGTCCTCCTAGAGATTTTCCTGCCCCCCAAACCTCTGCGCGATTCAGAGGTGATGAAAACCTCTTTGTCCGGCTGCGCGCCGAACGCGCGGGTCGGCGCCCCCGCGCCCGCGTTGGGCGGAGAGACCACCGGCGCCGCCAGGCAGGGCCCGACTGGACTGCTCCAACTCTTCCTCCTCCTCTCTCCTCCTCGCTCCTCCTCCTCCTCCTCGCTACTCCTCCTCGCTCCTCCTCCTCCTTTTTCTCCTCATCATCATCATCATCAGCATCATCATCATCATCATCATCATCATCATCATCATCATCATCATCATCATCAACCATCGTCATCATCATCATCATCAGCATCATCATCATCATCTTCTTCTTCTTCAGCATCAGCATCAGCATCAGCATCGTCATCATCATCATCATCATCATCATCATCATCATCATCATCATCATCATCATCATCATCATCATCATCATCATCATCATCTTCCTCCTTGTTCCTCCTCGCTCCTCCTCGCTCCTCCTCGCTCCTCCTCGCTCCTCCTCCTCCTCCTCCTCCTCCTCCTCCTCCTCCTCCTCCTCCTCCTCCTCCTCCTCGCTCCTCCTCCTCCTCCTCCTCCTCCTCCTCCTCCTCCTCCTCCTCCTCCTCCTCCTCCTCCTCCTCCTCCTCCTCGCTCCTCGCTCCTCGCTCCTCGCTCATCCTCCTCCTCCTCCTGCTCCCCTTTCCTCGTTCCTCCTCGCTCCTCCTCGCTCCTCCTCGCCCCCTCTCCCCGGCTCCTCCCTCGCTTCGGGCCACCGTCCATTCCCCGTCACACCCCCCCCCCGCTGGCGGGTGGTTCGGGCTGCTAGGCGGGGATGGGCTCCCGCCAGGCCCAGTGGCGCACGTGCGCCTTTTTTTTTACTGTCGCCGAAGCTTGGAGGGACTCGCTTTTGAGAGAACGGCCTCGGCGGGGCGCAGACGAGGGACTCGCTTCTGAGTGAACTTTGCGCTTTGAAGACAGGAGCCGTGGCTTGGTGGGACCCGTTTTTGGGTGAACAGCCGCGGCGGGGCGCAGGCATGGTACTCGCCTCACCGGTTTTGCGCTTTGTGGATTTATTGCTTCGCAATCGTTCCGAATCCTCCTCCTCCTCCTCCCCTCCTCCTCCTCCTCCCTCCTCCTCGCTCGCTCCTCGCTCCTCGCTCATCCTCCTCCTCCTGCTCCCCTTTCCTCGTTCCTCCTCGTTCCTCCTCGCTCCTCCTCGCTCCTCCTCGCTCCTCCTCCTCCTCCTCCTCCTCCTCCTCCTCCTCCTCCTCCTCCTCCTCCTCCTCCTCCTCCTCCTCCTCCTCCTCCTCCTCCTCCTCCTTTCCTCCTTCTCTTCCTCCTCCTCCTCCTCCTCCTCCTCCTCCTCCTCCTCCTCCTCCTCCTCCTCGTTCCTCCTCACTCCTCCTGACTCCTCCTCGCTCCTCCTCGCTCCTCCTCGCTCCTCGCTCTCGCTCCTCCTCCTCCTCCTCCTCCTCCTCCTCCTCCTCCTCCTCCTCCTCCTCCTCCTCCTCCTCCTCCTCCTCCTCCTCCTCCTGAAGCACAGGGCTGCGTGCACCGAGCGCGGTGGCACCAGAGCGCAGGGCGCCATGCCCAAACCCGACGCCCCCCGGCAGGAAAAGTGGAAGCTCAGTTTGCGCAGGCCACCCCGCAGGGCGTAGTTGTCGCCGTGCCCTCCCGCACCAGTCCCCGCTCGCTTCGTCGCCCGCCTGCCTGCGCCCGAGGCCCCCCGCATGCGTGGGCTTGGCCGCGCTGGCCGAGTTGCCCACCTGGGTGGGGATACGTATGGGCCTCGCGGGGCATATCCCCACTAGGAGGGTGAGCTGGTGGGACTGAGAAGCAATGGCCAAGTGGGGACAGGGGTCGGTCGGTTCCAGCGGTGGCGAACGCGCACGGCGTCCATGGCTTGAGCGGGGGGGGGCGCTGATGACCGCTAAGCGGGGGGGAGAAAGCATGCGGTGCGGACGCGGCCGCAAGAGGCCCTCGCCAGACACTGCTAACCCGCGCGGGAGACGCACCTGGGGGGAAACTCGGAGCACCCTGGACGCAGAATCTTCTGGAACGGCCACGGGAAGTCAGGACGCAGCGCGGGGAGCGAAAAAACCCAACGTACAGTCGAGTTCGATTGGGAGGCCGACCCTGCCAATTCAAGGGTACCCTCGTGTCCTGCGTTTCGCGCCCATGCCTTCCATTCCTATGGCAATGTCAGAATGTGGCCCTCGGATGATTATTGTCTCCTCTCGCGTGTCCTCTCCGGTCCAAACCGGCTGTACCCCGGCGAGCAGCAACTCACCTCTCGATGCGCGTCCCCATTGTGGGCCGCCTGCAGGCTTGCCGGAGGACCCCGACCGGAGCCAGACCGCCAGTCGGCGGCCAGCCTGGGGGGAAAGTGAGAGGGGGCGGGCCTTCTCAGAAGGTTCGGAGGTCCTCCAGCCTCCTGGGAAGTGTTCTAGGCCTTCCCCGAAGACACAGAGATGCTTTGGAAGGTCAGAGGGCTTCCGGGAAGCCCCGCCGCCATCTGAGAAGGCCTCCTCCTTCTCACTTCGCCCCCTCCCAAGCATTTTCTCTGGGTGGAGGGCAGAGGGTGAACGCTGAGATGCCGTTTCGATGCGTTCTCGAGGCCCGGATCTGCAAAAGGTGAATCACAAGACGGATGGATTCTCGAGGTGCGAAAAAGCTTATGTGGATGTCACGCGGAGCCCTCCACCCGAAGAAACTGCTCGGCGCCCGCTCGCCGCCGAGCCAGGGCTCCGCGCCGCCCCGCCGCTGGCTCGAGCCGCCCCGGGCGAGGCCCACAGCAGGCCGCCGAGCCTGGCAGGGAGGGCGCCGTGGCCGGCCCTCGCGCCGATGGCCCCGGGGCAGGCGCGCGCGGAAGTCGGCTACACTTCTGAGATTGAGTCGGGCCTGTCCCGCCCTCTGCAGGGGGGGAGATTCGGAAATAGTTTTAAAAAGTCTGGGGACGACGCTTTTTAGCATTTTGTACTATTTGGGGGGCATTGGTGGATTCTCCGTCATTGTTCGTCCGAAGTCCGCCTGCAGGGGGACATGCCCGACCTACACCCAAGAGCGACCCTTCGCCCGAGTGACCTCTGGTCCCAGACCCCCTCGCGTTTGAAAACATCAGGACGGGAGGTTTTCGCTATTTTCAGCCTCCGTGGGCCCTCTCAGGGACTCGGTCGGGACCGTCAAAAAACGAATCAGGATGAGAAACCGGTACCGGGGAAGGGGGTCCAGACCTTTGGGGGTCGACGCTGCGGGGAAAAACACTACTTCGGGGATCTGGGTTGCGGGCCCAGAGGCGTCCCCCCAGGGCCCCCCCGTACAGTCGGCCCGTATCATAAGGATGCGCGATGAGGATGCAGGGGCCTTGGGCGCCCATGTCGAAGCTCTTCGAGCGGGGCGCAGCCCACGGAAGCGGCCAGGGATGGGCCGAGGAGGCAAGGGTGCAGGGGGACCCTCGGGAAGGATGCCCATCCCTACTGTGCGGGCTGACTGCATTTGGCCCCGCCGTGGTCCCCTGGAA